ACTAATACTATTTAGTTTTTATTAAACAAAAAAAAAAAAAAAAAAAAAAAAGAATGTATACACATATGCAGGTGTATTGTTGTTTATTCTACGTACATGTTTATTTAGAAAAATTTGAAAATTTTTCATTTTATTATTTTAAAATGAGATTTTTGGCTGCGAGCTGCGAATTTTTATTTGCTTATGTGTGAAATTTTCAATATATAGGGGCACGATGCATACACACATTTGAATGTAGCATATATTTACATATTGCATATATTCGCATTCCATACACTTTCAGTTTTAAACAATTTCGAGTTTTTGTTTAAATCTCTCTACGCAAGAAACGGAAGAATGGAAAACTTTCATAGGCCAACAACAAAAACTTATCAATCAAAGTGTCAAACGAACGCCCCAGTATGTTGTACTTTAATTTTTATGCAAAGTTTTTTTGACTATTTTTCAGTTTAGTTGCTTTATTTCCCATGAGTGATCTGTTTTTCTCGATCAATAACGACTGTGATGAGTTCTTCGTTTAAAAACCACTAAGAAAGTTGTACTCAGGCAAGGTCGCCCATTAAATGGTCTACCGCGTAGTCAAGTAATTAAGAAGTGTACCTGACAGCATACTTGAGTTAGACTTTTTAATGCGGTAGACCAATCTTTAATTGCGAACGGTAAGTGGTCTTAGTTATCGCGAGTGTTTGGTCGGCTATGCGGTTACCTTCCACGCTGCAATCATTTCCTATCCCTCTGTCCCTCTCCCCTTTTTTCTGATCATCACCCTGTGACACGCGTAGGCGGCATCCTCTCCGTGGTCGATCATATTAAAATAGAAAAATGACACCCGACATTTTCTAATTTAATTCACTTTTCTTCACTAAATTATTTTCTCAATAAAATGCTAAGAGTTTTACTTACTTCTGATAAAAAAGCGTACACGTCATAAGTTGGCTTGTTAGTAGCAGATCGTTATCCAAAAAAAATATATATATTTATGTAATTCAAGCTTAACCAACCCACATTTAAAAGTCAAATTGGTGTCTTGTAGCAATTTTCATCATAACATAAAAAAGATTACTCTTTGCTGTCGTATTAAAAAATTTGTTTTGTTAGGGAAATGGACTCAAAAATGGTCCCATCAGCTACATATTTGGAACATTCACTTGATGTGATACAAAATATTGACATACAAACGTTTATGACATCACTTCGTTCAATCTACCAACCAATAGAAAATTCCGACTTTGATGTGATGATAAAAGATTGCTTTTCGATCGATGGGAAAAAATATCCTCCAAATTCAGCATTGGTTAAAAAAATCACATGACAGCTCTTCTCTTATGAAAGCAAAAATTCGCCGGTGCCGTGTGTTAACTTCAAACGACGTGTTTTTGAAAGCAGTGGTCGTCTATAAGGGATGATTACACGGGACAACATCATTAAAATTCTGAAAATTGCTAATGAATGGTCGCATAGTAAACGATAGCTAACTTCCCAAAGATATCAAACGAAAGTGTTTTCATTATTTTGCACGAAAATTTCCTTATCAGAAATGTGTACTGGTTTAATTTATCAAATGGGTATCGCGTTCACTCGCAAGGAAATAAAAACATCCCACCACAATATTGCGTAAACTAAGGTCTTTCAAATTGTTGCCCTATTCACCGGACTTTCCAGATCTGTCTGCTTGCAAATCTCAAAAGGCGGCTGTTACATCTACCAAGGAGGTGCTGGCCGACCAATTACAAAATTATATTTTTTTTTTTACCTAAGAAAAAGTAAGTTAATCACATATACCGATCAACTACTATTAAATGAAGAATATATACACATACTCGCTTGCAAAGAAATAATAGATGAAAGGGGCGAAGCAAAGCAAATGAAGCAAATGACAGAAAGTTTGCGTACCAGAAACGGTGTAGAGTGCAGTTAACCAATTAAATGTATTGAACTCTTACAGTACGCATTTCTTCGCATGAAGAAATCCGAGAAGGACGAATGGACGGATCGCGACATATATCGTCGTCATACACAGTTAAGCGATTGATAAAAATCAGAGGAAATTAAATTCATTAAATATTACGTATCTATCCATCTCTACTTAACAAACCAAAGAAAAAAATATTACGTATTTTCCAAGGATCCAACTTGTGCAACAACGGATTCTTTACCAAGGCTTTTGGTCTTTTTATATCAGTGTTTACATTCAAAGGAACCAAAAGTAGTTGAGTGTATGTTACATCAGCAAGTTTTTGAACCTTCATCGTTAGTTCTAATGATGTAGAAAATACAGTTATAACAACGTCAGCTCTTTGTTACATCAACGAGTTGTTGAACTCTGGTAGTTCGGTTGTGAACACTAAATTGAATTTGGCGATTCAACTATTTATCCTTAGTGTTCAACTCTTTCGCATTTCTTTTCAATCGTACGACGCACCTCTTCGGCGATTCAACTATTTATCCTTAATGTTCAGCTCTTTCGCATTTCTTTTCAATCGTTCAACGCACCCTTTCGGTATTAACTTACTTGCCTCTTCATAAACAAACAGAGCCTGTTGACAACCAGACTGGACTGTTTATGCCTGGTTCCGACGAAACGTTAATTAATGTCAATATTGTTGAAGAACCCAAAACAGTTCTTATCATTTGTTAATATTACGTTATTCTATTTTTCTTATTCGGAAACGTCAATTGGGTGTTAAAATGGGTGAAAAAAGAGGTGGCGATAAGTTATTGCCAAAATATGTTTTTTCTTTTTTTTTCTTTTTTTTTTCATTTTTTTGTAAGAACGTTGTCTATACATTTCCTTCCAATTTCCGTACCTCTTCTGTCGTTTCTATGTCGTTTCAAAGTCTGGCGCTTAAATAATTAAAAATATTTCATTATGTACTTATGGCGACGTGAAACATATTTGTTTACCAACACATTAATATTGAATGAACGGCAAACATAGTTTAAAGTGTATGATGCAATTTTTAATTTATTAATCGTGAAAATTTCAAATAGTTTTTGAATGGTCGGCTTCAGTACATAATTATGATAAATATTTCGACTTTTTGGTTTTCTGGCTTGGCTGCCAAATGCTGGCATGAAAACAGTTTCAATTTCAGATTGTTGTGTGAATTTTTATATTAAAATTCTTGTGCAATTTTTTCATAAATATTTTCACATTGACACATTGTATACTTTTCAATAAATAAGTTCATATGTTCTCGTATACAGCCATGAGCATTAAAAATGATTTAGAAAGATTTAATTAAAAATTTATGAAAAAAAAATATTAAATAAAATAAAATTTTAAAAAATTTACCTTTATTTTAAAATTAAAAAAAAATTTACTCTTATTTTAAACTACAATTTAATTTACATTAAGAAATTCTTAAAGTAACTGAAACAGAAAATTCTTCAAGTCAAAATAATTCCAAAAGTATTTTAATATTAAAATATGATTTGGCAAACAAAATAGCATCGCGACTACTACTTGCAAAACAGAACATATTCTGCATGCATGAACCAAAAAAAGTTTGAGAAAACTTAAAAATAACGGTTAATTTTCTAACATACACGCATACATTTTTATATTTGCATCAACAAATTACTTTGACGGTACAGTTAAAAAATATTTATTAAAATGCTGTTTCGAATTTGTACCATTTATTTACATGTCAATGCCTGTACACATTTATTCATTTTGATAGTTAAACAATGTGCGGCGATATTCATTTGGTCGTTAATAATATTCTTTCATTAAATATATATTTATATTTAAGAAAGATAAATTCGTGAAAATACCCAATTTTTTTGCAACCGAACAATACTTTAGCAACATATGGTTATGAAACTCTACAAGTCCACCGAAACATTGTTCGTGCTTTTTGATGCGATAATTTGCAATCTTTTTTATTTTTATATCCCTTTTTTGATTCCCTTTGGGGGATTCCCCCATCTCAGTTTAGAACATGAACGGACAGACCCAGCAAGCCCTCAGTACCCGGACACACGGACAGATGAACAAACAGACTGCCTGAGAAGATCCGCGCGAATGGACGGACACGTGAACGGACGAGCGGACACGGATTGACCGAAACACAGATAGGCTGTTGCACTGACGTGAAATAGGACGGACACACACGGGTGAAGAAGCACAAAGCACAGAGCTAAAACGATTCTCTCTCACCAAGAATGAATACACTTCGGTCAACGCGTGATTTTGATTATAACTAATGGAATATAACCAATGAATCAGCATAATTGGCGGATTTAAATATTGACGAAAAAGTTAACAGACGCGACTGAATTTATTCAGATTTCCATACAAAAAAAAAAAAAAAAAAAATGATTTCCATCGAAAATTTATCTCTTATGTTGTAGTATTTTGTGCACGTGCAACGTATCTATGTAACTTAATAATAGGCCTATGTGTTAGCATTATAGTCACTGAATAAAACAAATGATAAAATTAAAAATTTTATCCAAGCGTCTGAGCTTTAGCGATCATCGAAATCGCTTTAAAAATTCGCAAGCGTTTTTCAAAAATGTTTTCTTCTATTTTTTACGTATTATCAACAAAAAAAGAAAAACAAGAAATTTAATTGAATTGTTGTACCTGCAATCAACGTGAAACGTAAAATCAATCATTTTTTTTTTTCTCTTCGTTTGATTTCAAATATTTTTGTACATCATCAGGAAGCAAATCTTTATCAATAGCAAGCATTTCACTCTAATGTTAGAATTGTGTGCACTTGTATACAGATAGGCACACAAATATAAACAATCTGAGAAAATAAACAGATGTAGTGGTGCGTCTGGGCTTGGTAGCAACAACATTACATCAAAACAACTTTTTTTTTATTTTTTTTGTTTTTTAAATAAAATTCGTATTTATTTGAAATATTTTCTCGTATTCGAACAAAAACCATTGGAACAGCAAGAGTAAAGCGAACAACAATTATTTTTATTTTCATTTCTTTCGAATATACGCATGTAGGGCGCTCATCGCTTGTGTAAGCAAAAAAAAAAAAAAAAAAAAAAAACAAAACAAAAAAACACAATAAACAAAAATTGGAGAGAAAACAGTGCAATGCAACGTTGACCGACGACGTTCCTGAATATACATGAAAAGTATTTTTAATCTGGCAATTTGGATGCAGTCCAATGCATTAGCTAAAAACTACAGAAAACTATCCATTAGCCACTCAATAAAATATATATATATACGTTTAGAAATATATATGTATATGCACGTATATATATGTATATAATTATACACTTACATAAAAGTGTGAATTATACTTTATCGTTAAGTTATTTAAACTAAATCAAGGTTCTTCAAAAAAACGAAAAAATTATAACGAATTGCTGGCGGACCCAGTAAATTTCTAAAATCAATCCCGTATAAATAATTCAAATAAACCAAATCCGTGAACGGTAATAGCTTTAAAAAATTATGCCATTATCATAACCATATAATAATAATATGTCTGTTAATTATATTTGAGCAGACACAGAGAAAGGACAAGCAAAACGCACGCTTTTCTCCAATACGCGTAAGTTTGTGTTTGCCGCTTGTGCTTCTTGCACAAAAACTAATGATAATAAGTATGAAATTTTTATTCGGCTTAGATCGACGCTTTGCCAGATTTGCGATCAACACAAAATAATCAAGAGAAAGCCAAGAATCAGTTCAAGGCGTGCAACGACCATCAACACCTATCGACGAAGACCACGTCAAGGACATAAAAGATTTGATGCTCGAAAATTGTCAATTGAAAATTAGGGATCTTGCTGATGCTTTGGCATTTCATTTGGTTCAGTCAAAACGATTTTAGAAATCGTTGTTTGTTGTTCGTATATAAAAAAAATGGGAAACATTTCGCCAATACATTCCATCCACGTCATTTTACAGTCGGTATATTCGCCTTAACTATTTGATAAAAGCATACTTTTAGATGAAAAGTACCCGTTTTCCCAGGAAGCGTAATTCTTAAGATGATAAAATTTAATAGGAATTCGTGTTGCTTTATTCACCGGCAAAGCTGGCGATTACAAAAAAAGATTCAGAACAACTTATAGATCAATTTTCCTGTTTAACTAAGCCAATCATCTAGTGAATATCTTTTACACGTAACGCGGTAAGAAGTGGAGAAAGATGTGAGGAGGGAATGGCTGCTGCTTGGCAGGTAAGTGCCGCAATCGACTTTTTACTGAGTGAGTGAGTACTCACACTTAACACAAGAATGTCACAAAGTTATTTTCTGTTAGTAAGCGCCTTCTGAAAAAGTATATATAAGGCAAAATCAGTTGAGTCTCTTGAATCCGAGTATGCGAACGGAGAACTAGAGACCAGATTAATAACGTTTTAAAACATTGCAGATACAAGTTCCTGTAGATGATTCATCATAGATCTTTCAAGGATTATAAATAATGATCCGAAAGATTCGAATAAATCCGTAAAATCGCAAAGAAGCATATTTTCTCCAGATATTTTCAAAAATGTCAATAGAGTCAGTCACTTGTCGTATATGAACATAGAAGCATCTTGTGGCAAACATTTTGGCGTTCACAAAATATAGCCTTGATCGCAAAATTTCATCCATAATTACTAATTGGAGGAATAGTTGACTTAAGGATCCAATGGTCTGTTGCGTTCTTTCTTTCTCCCTAGTCTTGCTACTTTCAAGAGTTCAGAAAAGAACGGCTAACGTCTTAAGCTGAAATGGTACGGGTTCTTGTTTTGACCCACGCTTCATACGGGGAGTCTTCTTTATGCCTTATATCTATTTGTCGACTTGGCAAACGTAAGGACATAATTAATTACCATTATCATCTATTGATGGTAATTTCAATAAAATTATAAGAAATATTTTAAAATAAAGCGAATTACTTAAGCGGTGATTGTGGAAGCGGTATTACGACTGCTAATAATGAAATAGCTTGTGCCAGCTGCTTGTTTTTTTTTTTTTTTGTTTTAATGCTTAGAAAACTGCAAAGCGACGGCGTGAAGCAATAATATAAACTTTTGTTACTTTTGCAACAACGTCATGTATTGTTTGTGAATTTTATTTCCTTTAAAGCAACAACAAGACATTGAATCCTTTAGCAGTGCAAGAAACATGCGTATGCATATGTAACATATCGGTCAATAAGTTCGTAGGATGATGTATAATGTACATGTCTATATCATTTTCGCCAACTTTTTCAAGTTTCACGATATTCCGACCATTACTTTATGCATTGTGCTGTTTTAGTGGCTCGACTTTTTGGTCGCTTTAGACAATCTTCGGTATTTGCTGCCCTCTTGGCGGACTGGCGATTTGACTCTGCAAGTAACGATATCGTATACCGCACGAAAGAATCTCTTCGCTCTGAATCATCATTTCGAACAGACCTTTCTTACCGTTTATGCGACATAGTGAACACACTATGTTCTGATATAGTTAAGGTGTTAGTTATTTCGATTTTTCAAAACGATTTTGTGCTTTTTTTTATATTTTCTGGAACGACTATCGATTTCGCAAGAGCAGTACGTTCAGCTTCGCCAGCGTTCGTATGACTTTGTTTAAAATTAGCAAGGCAGTCATAAAGTTATGTTTTCGACAGATAAGAGCCATACACGGGCAATGACGGGCATTTTTCTCACCAATAATTAACGTTTGATCAACAGATGATAATAATTTTCAAAAGTAGCATCGCAAGACCAACTGCAATTTGTAAAGTAATGGTTGTGGAAACGCATTTCATATGGACACGCCAATAGCAATCGATATCTATTGATATCTAAGTGATCCTACGAACTTATTGACCGATGTGTATGTAAATTTTTTGGTAGTTGGAACAAAATGTAATATTTATGACTTATGACGAATAATATTTATATTTTGTTGGGCAACGCGGTCGCTTTGAGAAATTTTAATCTATTGCCATGTAAAGCAAATCATTTATGAAATATTGAATAATTAATTGCGAAGAACACAATTTCACAAATTTTCATATGTAATCTTAAATTTCTTAATGCCAACGATCATTACAAGTGAATGGATGACTACTAGTGAAAAGGAAAAATTACTCATTAAAACAAAAAAAAAAAAAAAAATAATAATATATTTATTTAACAGCTAATGATGATGATTCAGAAGCATTTTCTTTTTTGTTTATTACAATTTCGAATATGATGTTCGCATAAGTGAACAAACTGCTCATGCTTAACTATTTTAATATCTTTTTTAGCTCTCGATCTTGTCGTTAAATTGTAATAATTTGCTTAATTTCATGGCAAAATTGTTCGGAAATTGTATAGAACACTTTATGCATAAAAGTTGGAGGCATTTTCGTAGATGAAGGCAATTTCGTTCCGCTCAGCTACGTGAAATGGATGAATAATGTATGGATTGCTGGACAGAAATTGAATTAAAAAAAGCCATAATCGTCTTATAGTAGTTTGTAAGATAAGAAAACACAAGACCGTCCAGTTTTATTATAAACAATGAAAAATTCATCTAACCTAAGCAAGGCGATGGCCCCACATAAACTCGTTTTTTTTTTTTTCTTTTTTTGTTGTTGCCTATACATGAAACTAATGTGCATATATACAAAGTAATTTATGTGTACGCCGTTTTCATACATTGTATACGTACTTGGACGTATGCTCGAGAGCATGTGTGTGTGTGTGTGTGTGTTTGTGTAGGCTGGTAAGTATATACATACATATTGTTGTTGCTTCTAAAATTAAATTCAAAAAAAGCTATTTGATTGCAAACGCACACACGCTTATCAAGGAGTTCACGAATTCTTTGCTTTCACAGTTTAATGTCTTCTTGTGCTTTAAATATATTTTTCATTTCATTTTAGAAAAATCAAAGCCAATAAGCGTTCACCTTTATGCATCTGCGTTTCGGTTCATATCGACCTATCTATCAATTTGCTTAGAAAATTTTCATGATATGCCAGCAAATATTCACACTATATATACATATACATACATATATATATATATATATATATATATATACTACAATGCACTCTCCAAGTAAAAGCTCGAAATATTCCGGAAACGGTAAAAAGAACTTTCGATGAAAACAAGATTCACGGTCATCTCCATGTGGAACATCATGTGCTAATCGACAGCCCGGAAGTTTTACGCAACAAGCTAATTATTAGTTTTAGCTAACATTATCTATAAAGGATCAAAAGCTTAAGTGAACTTAATTTGCTTGCTTTGACTAAAATCAATCCGAATGATATACCGAAAGCAAGAAGAAAGGAATTAATGGCGGCTTTTAGAATAAAATTTTTCTTTTTTAGTGACTGATAGTGAGTTGTTGCATTAATGCCAGAACAAGGTTAATATTATAACAAGCAGTTAATAGATTCGTGAAAAATTTCACGGCCTATTACCAACAAAAATCCAAAAATATTTTTTTATACATTCCTATGGGGCTTTACTAAGCATGATATGCGCCATTCTGATCAATAACTTTTTGTCATTTTTCTGCTTTCATCGTAACGCCCTCCTTGTGTAGGCTTTGGGATGCTTGGGACTAACACCCAAAAAAGCGCCTTTCACAGGTATCCTTTGAAGTCAATCTTTCGTCAGAACCCTGAACTGTGGGTAAGTAAAACGAGGTCTCACCTGTCGGGTGGGTGAACTGAAACTTTTCGGTCAAGTTTCCTCAATTTGCTATGATGGGAAACGATGACCTTCCTTTAGGACAACCGTGTAGACCCTTCTAGATACTTTTGGCAATCATCGGGCCAGATTGGACATCAACCCGAGCTTGGTTACCAGTCGAGCAGTCTCATCTATCGTGCACTCCAACCTGACTTGCAACTTATCGTAATGCCTGACCTGCTTTGATTCAAAACTGGCTCGATTATCTTTTTATCCATAAAGGAATTCAATTCAATAAACATATCAATGTTAATTTGTATGCTATTGTGCTTCTCTTTGCATTCGTTTTTTGTTCAATGTTTAGTTCCGTAACGAGATCGTAAGTTCAATCGTGTCAATCTCCCTCAATTGCTTTGAAGAATTTTAACGGGGATTGGTCAGTCAAAGCCCGGAGCGTTTCAACCTTTGAAGAAATTTTCAACCATTTTCGTGTTATTGGTTTCAAGAACGCATCTTCGTCGCAAACACACAACGATTAATTGCATAAGCCTGCGTCGCATTACCTCTTTGATTGAAGTGATATTATGAAATAAACTAAATTTCTTCAAAAAGCCACACACTTCCAATTCTATTTATGTACGGTTTTTTTTATTTACCCACGCATTGTCACCTTTGAGAAGCGCTATAGTGTGGTTTGATGTCTTGATAGTAAAGCAATGCATAGTATGCGACCGTCTTAGACCGTCCACTAATGGAACGGTCGCGAGTTCTTTCCTTAGCTTACTAAAGAAAGCTAATCAGAGAATCGTGGAGATACCATTTACACTCTGTGCGTATTACTATACTTCGGCTTTTAATCGGACTTTCGAAAACCAGCAAATCAAGAAATCTAACCTGGGATTATGGAACGTATATTCCATATATTAATAATTCCTTCATTATTCATTTTGCATGTGTAAGTACACAGGCTGCATGTTACACATCAGATATCATCGCAAGTCAGCAACTGAAGTGGTCTAGCGTATGCGTGAATGTCAACGAAAATTCTCTTTACGCATGCTTTTCTACTTAATACACAAGTGATGAAAAGCTTTTATTATTGATATGCGAAAAAAAATTTGTTTTTGTCGTACTATATGCATAGAATTTCACATGAAAGATATACAATAAAAGAGCAAGAAAAAAAAAGCAAATAAATAAAAAAAAAAAAAACAGTAAAAAACGGTGCGGCTGCTAATAAACAAAAAAAGAAAATTTATTTAACTTGTAGCGAATTTTTCGACACCCACCACTTGCGTTTCCTTTGTCTCTCAAAGGTAACGAAATTCGTTTAAAAAAACATGTGACAAACACACACTTAAGATGACACCTCTTAAGAATAACTCGCTTCAGATGATATGAGTAGAGCCTAAGTTAAGATTGCTAAGAATTGGTCATGAGCAAGTCGATGTACTCAACTGAGTCTTGAAGAAGGGAAAGCACTCAATATTGTGGAAAGACCTTCTAAATCGGAATCGCGGTTATAGCATACCCTCAAAGGAATAGATTTTACTATTTTAGGCGATCAAAGCTACATTTTGTTAACGGAACGTGTATATATATGCCTATGGGTTTTCCATAAACTGTGGCATACAAAAAAAAAAGAAATTCGAAATTGCGTAATGTAATTCCGCCTATGCTTGGCACGCACACGCAACACGCTCCTCCAATAGCATACATATACACCTGTACTTATATATTAAAAATGTTTTTATAGGAATAAAAAGATGGAGAATTTGACATCAGGTTTGTGTATAGACAAAGTTTTGACGCGATAGTTGTTCTTTGATATGGCAGACGGACTTACATCTATTCATATACATATAACGACGGCCCGTGTGATTGATCTAAGCAACACTAAATGCAGTTTAAATTTACTTGAATGCTACGCAGGATAAATTATATTTCTTCGGAGTATATTTTTAAGCTTTGAAAAGATTAGATAAACTTAATCTAGATCCGGCGATGGAATACTAACGATAAGCATATTTCCCGAAAGTTGATATATCTCGTCATAATGATGCTTTGATGCGGCAGACAGACAGTAGCGCGCAGATATAATTATGACGACTCTGCTGATCGAGGTGTTCATGACTGAATACATCGTAAAGAAAGCCTATGTTATTTCGGAGTATACTTTTGGGCTTTACAAAGATTAGATAAACTTAACATATCCCCGACGATAAACTGAAGATGGATGCATTTTATATATAATTAGAGGCACATATGGCACATATAGCGGTATAATAAGTTGGTCAACTCTTGTTGGTTAACTCTAATTTGTATTTTAAAATAAGTTTTTTTATATATTTCTTAAATTTATAATTTAATTTTTTAATGCCATAGTTGTTCAAGAGACTCTTCTATCAAGTATACCCGCCTCTATCTGTTATTTAATAATTTTTAGATCCTCGACAGTTACTTTATTTTTTGTAAATTTTATTTTCCTTTATATTTTTAAAAATTTTTCTACGAAATATATAATTGAAGTTTTCATTTTAATAAATGTACAAAAAGCTGTTGGTTGCAATCACCTAATATTTAATAATAAAAGTACATGTATTATGGTTATTTGTTTCTTTTGTTCACTTTACTGTTTAAATACTTTTTTTTTTCCTTTTTCTGTTTTGTTTTATTGAATATGCGAAAAAAGAAGATTTCATACACAGGATAATAAAAATTAATTTTATCAATAAAGATACAAAAGTACATAACTTACAAAAAGAATTATACATAGTTCATTGCATATTTACCAATCATAAAAAATATAAAAATAAAATATAAATCGTCACGGCGTATAAATCAAAATTGTTTTTTTTTTTTTTGTTTATTATCGGAATTTCCTCTATCAATGGGAAATGAAACAGTTTGTGTCAACGCTTGTTAGAAACTTAAAAATGGTAATGCAAACGTTTAGTTCAATCACAGTAATAGAGCTTGCAACATCCAATATGGGTTATTGGGTTGACTTAAGAGATTGGCTTTGTAAAGATCCTGCTAAGCTCGTAAGACATCTAGTATTGTTTATCTGTTGTATAATTGTTGTAGTGCAGGTAAATATTTCGACAGATGAATTTCAAAGAATCCAAGATACTCTCAGTAGAAAAGTGAATCCTTTCCTATCTTATCAGTTAACTGAATGCTTCGAAAAATTAAAGCACCCACCGATTTCTACGCACTCGTATTATATTTTAAATGAAACTATACAGATGCCAGCTATTACGATATGTCGTGAACCTGCTTACAAGGAGGAAGTGTTGACTGTAAGAGAATTTTATATATATATATATATATAAAGAGTTTTTATCTTTACTTCTTCATATTAGAATATTGCCGGACGCTATTGTTCACATCCCAAATATGATACTTGTTGGTTTCACTACCCTTTCGGTGTAGTGGACTTGGAAGAATTCTTTATGAATTCCACATTTAATCAAAATGAAACTTTTCTTCCCTTCCAATACGGGCTAAATGGATTAAGTGAGAGTATGTGCTTGATATCGCATTGCTTACCATTCGTTTCAATACATTTATAATCGTTAGATGTGGAAATCACCAGTAGCCTACATTTCTATAATGGCCGTTGCTTTACTATGCGCCCTCGAATACTTCTTCAGCGAGCTACCAAAAATTCCGGTTATTCGATGATATTGACCCATCATATTCAAAGTGATCATCAATATTTCTATTACGAAACCGAACCTGGTTGGCATTTATTTATTCATGATAGCACAGAAAATTTTACAGGTATAAAAATCTATCAATGAAAACATATCATGCAATCATTCATTAACGTGGAGCAAAAAAATCCACAGAAATCAGTATGAAAGCATCTGGCCGTGTTGAGTACGTTTTTATTAGAAGAAATGAAGAAATCGAAATTAAATTACAAACAAAGTGCTTCGTTAAAGTGGAAGGTAACGAAAACCTGTGTTCTACGTTAAACGATTACAGCGATCTCAAGGTATAGTCATATGTTGAAAATCTTTCTATAACATGACCGTCACACTATATCTGTTCAGAGTGGCGAAATATGCATATGGGAAGATTTGGCCAGCAAAGCGAATTGCACAGGTCCTTGGATGTATGATATACCCCATCAGCCCCCATGTTCGTCGTGCAGTTCAATGACACATCTTATAAGAGAGTATAAAGGGTATGAAGAAGAAAATGATATTAAATTCCTTTTATTATCATATTTTAAATGAGCTTTCAATGTGCGGCACATATCCTACCACGAAATTAAACGCAAAGTAAATTTCTTCACGAAAATTCAATATTTTTATATCCTGCCCCGCTGGTGGTGTAAAGTATTGTTTAAGCTTGTGCGGCTGCTTGTCCAGCAGCCAGAAGGAGTTGAAATGCAGCCAATCGATTCGGAATAATTTTTTTAAAAATGATTCAAGCATGTCTATCCATCCGTCCGTTTGATTTTGTCCGTGAGGCAATTTCGTATTCAAAGTGTTCTAAGAATTTTGATGAAATTTGATGGACAAGCATGCTTTGGTCGAAAACGTTGCTACAAAAACCAAGCTTATATATGGCAGCGAAAGCGAATTTGAATTTGATTTGACCAGCAAAAGTTAGCCTGGAGTATATAAATTTGTTTATCGTAAGTTCTTCAGATAAGATTTCTCAAGAAAGGTAAGCCTTTATACGGCTAAAAGGCACAATTTTTGGTATCTTATGACGAAGTATTCCATAGGTGGCCTTTTCGTGTTAACTTATTTTTAAATATCTTTGTTCTTTCTTTAAGGCGACTTTAGACATTTCTTGCGCAGTGCGTTATCTGTTGTTGGTTTGCTGAATTCTGGAAGAAGAAGAAAAAGAAAGCATTCTTTGCACTTTTCTCATAAAACTTTTAATAAACTTACTTACATGGCGAAGTGCATCTTACCTATGTGCCTAAGGATCGTATATAAATCTAGAGAGAATTACGGAAAATTTTCTTATGCTAATACAACTAGTGATGAATTTTCAGCGACCGGGTCTGGCCAATCTAAAATAGTGAACGAAATAGTGTCACTCACCTGTTCCAAATCATTTCTCATTTCATTTGAAAAATTGGTTTGTTGACGAGACCAGTAGAATTTGGTTATATTTAATCATTTGGGATTTTTCCTTTAGACTTCGTCATCTTTATTTTCTTCTGTTTCACCCGTCTTCCTACTTCCTACAGAAGTCTCGCATTAGTATTGACGGCGACCGACCTTGCCACAACTCAGCCAAGAAATTAATGCTTTCGTTTGAGATATCAAATCTCGGCGTTCGCCATGTCCGCTTAAACCTAAGCTAACCATAGCTCAATGTTAATTTATTTCTAAAATAGAACTGGCATCGTATACGCGAACGGAGAGCACTCGGGTCCAAAATAAGGTACGATTTTGAGCGGCTTAAGTAATCTTCGGGGAACAAGAAATTTGCAATGCTTCTCCGTTTTGAAATTTGCAAAAAAATTTTGCGATCGCAAGAAGATTTGAATAACTTCTCCATTCTTTATAGTTAGCACTTTACTAGTTCAAGTTGAATTACGCGGGACACGCGTTCGCTTTTTTCATAGTTAAACCCAGCAACTTTTTTCTTCTTTACTACACTAGGTGTGAAAACACGAAAGGGTTAAATCAATTCTTCTTTGTAACATTGTCTTATGCATTCACAAGGCAAGAGCCTTCATTGAAAATTTGCCTTGCAGTCAGTTACGAAGGTGTCTTCTTTCACTTATTGAAGGCTAATTTTACTTCTTACCTAATCGAAGTGTTCCTGAAGGTGACGTATACTTTATTAGCAGTTCTAATTATTTCCATTTGCATATAATGTGCGTATCACTACATTCACAGCACTTGTTGTATAGGGCATATTAAGTTTGTGTGGGCGTATGTAACATTCGGAAGGGCTTTAGATGGACCCACATTTTATTACACCGATCGATTCATTTTCTAAGTCGATTCAAGCTTGTCAGTCCATCCGCCCGTCTCTCTATCTGATATCTGTTCATGTGTTTTTGCTTTCAAGCTTCGTTGCTTTCAATGTTCGTCCTTACCTAGGAACTACTAAAGATTTAAACCTGAGCCACTCGATATTGAAAGAAATTGAGTTGTATTGCCGAGCCCTTATCGTTGAATTCATCCAAAATGCTTCTCTTTGAAAAAGTCATCCTTTGCACCTCCTATAAAGACGAAAAATTTTAAATTAAAAATCAAAAACCAAAAAAAGTTGGTCCCTCTACCACCGAAGTGTGTAGAAAAATTGTCCTTTCTTTCCTTAACTTGTCTTCTTTCCTTGTTTTTATTCACAGAGCTTATGACAGCGAGGAAAAGAACGCTTGCAATTGCATACCACCATGTGAGTCGCATTTATTCTCGGCTTACATACAAAGTCGCCGAAATTTCCACCAACCAGAACCGAACACCCAAATTTGGATCTATTATACAACAAAGCTAATATCGGTAAATATTTGAAGATAGAATATATAATGATTCTGCATGCGCACATATATGTGTACACGTTTTTATACATTCACTTACAACAGATGGTGGAGGAACGTCCTAATTACGATACCATACAATTTATTGCGGATGTAGGTGGTTCGTTAGGCTTCCTATTGGGTCTATCAGTTTTGGGTTTAATTGGTATACTACAGCATGTAAACATACGTTATATCGATATAGTCAATATATGATATGTCTTAACGTTCCTTAACACCCTTCCAGTTAACTTTGGTAATGTGTGGCGGCGTTAATGGTAGCGGCCTCGTCAAGCGAGTGAAACATATCAATGAAAATCGTCTTAGTTCAGATTTCGAAACGGACAAGACATCGCGCAAAAGTGATGAGACTGTCGATATTGCTATTGTCTATCCTTAAAGAATTTCCGAATAAAATTATACAACAAGTTCAAAAATGTTAATTTTATTAATTCTTATAGTCATAAATATATATTATATTAATTAATTGATTTACATACTTTTATAACAAAAACATACATATTTACAATGTTGAGGTAATAAGAGTTTTAACATTTGTTTTTTGAATTGTTTTTTTTTTTTTTTTTTTTTTTTTTTTTTAATAAAATTATTAAATAATTTACGACAACAACAATCACTTTTAAGTATATAAAAGTATAATCTTATGGCATATAATGTCTTAGTAACTAATTCCTATTACAAATGTAATATAAAGCAAACGATTAAAGGATTGACTACGAATATTATAAAAAATTTCAAACGGAAACGCAACGCAACTTACAACGTTAGTCACGTTGGCGAGAAGCATACAAAAAGTAAGACTGCGAGTATTAGACTCCAATTTGTATTAATAACAAATCCTTGCGAATTACTTCCCGTTTTACCGGTGGGACTTGTTACAGTATTCAAGATGTCCCCCAATTTGTTAATGATTTCGGGCAAAGGTTTTGTCTTAATATCGCAGGCGGTATTTTCGATGGCATCTTTAACATGTGCTGTCAGAATACGAAAATTAACTGATGTCGGAAAAAGCTCTCCGTAAATAAAATCCTGTAAACGATTTGATAGAACCCACAAACGATCTTGATCGTCTACTTTTACATCGCTGGGAAATACCATCTCAACCGGACTCATATAAACCCGACCTTGTGATTTAATCGTGTACGCACGATTAGATGTCTTCCAGCAGGCAACAGCATTTAAATTTGGCAAAGCATAAAACAACACGCCTGTTAATTGATCCAAAAATGAGGCACCCGCCTGAGCGTTAGGTCCACGAGAGCCTAAAATTTTAAATTCTCGATAAATTTTTCCACTAGTAGCTAAAGTTTTGTTGCGCAATATCATGGTATTAACAGCAAACTCCATTGTCGAACTTAACGGATGGAAGTATAGGGTGGCATAACCATCGGATTGTGCTTTACTCAATGCCAATCCGTAGAGACCATCGTCCCACTGAAATTCTACAGTGCCAATGCTATAATTCCCGGCCAAAGGATCCGGATGAAAATAATTGTGATGAATACGCCACGATTCGTCACGGCGCCATGAGTACACTACCAATCCGGGACTGCCTAAATCGCCGGCGTAAGCGTATGTATTCTCACATTCACCATCTTCTACCGCTATATTGGCAAAGAACGAATTCTCTTTTACTTGTTTAAGGGGAAAGGTGTGGCGCCTTAATAAATTATCATTATGCAAATCATAGACCAACAATTGAGCGGGTCCATAAACTTTAGTATCCAGCAGAACTCCGTCTATACGCGAATCTAAAACCCATAAACGTCCGCAACGATCAGCCCGTACACGAAATGGTGACACCAATTCCGGCTCCAGTTCATTCATACTATGAGCCACCCAACTAGGGTATGGCACCAGAACTGGTGATTTTGTTGAATTCGCTAGAAGTAAAACGAGAACAAATTTTTGTATCCTACACTATTTGCGGTGCAGAATATTTTAAGATACTTGGAACACCCAAAGGGACTTGAGATAGACCCACATTTTATTATAACATGAGTAGTTCAGAGTTACTCTCTGAATTGATCTAACCACGTCTCTCCGTCTGTCCATCTTTCATTGGCTTTGCAAACATTCGTATGTTCAATCTACAGGTTGCAATTTTTGTGATATGTTATTGGAATTGAGTGCACTGACGCGTTTTGTCTCCAGGGCGAACGCTGTTGAAAATGGTTCGGATCGGTCCACATTTTCGACCACTACACAAATTTACCACAATTTTACATCAGACAGACAGGCAGGCCTAGATCAATTCAGATTTACGATTCTGAATTGATCGACATAAAAAAAGATGGATGTAGCTTAAGCCCTTCCACGTTTTACATACGCCCGTACTGACTTAATATAACCTGTACCACAAGTGCTGTAGGATGTAATTATATCTTTTTACTATATAAAGGTTCAGTTTTCGTAAGATTAGTTATATAAGAGAGACTTCAAAAAATTGCTCCAGCCGGGCCAAATTTTCAACACCAATTTAGAATGCCCAAGTACTATTACAGAACGAGTTTTGTTGAAAACGTGGACCGATCCAAACCCTTTTCAATGGCATTCGTGGTTGGGTCAAAGGACGTTAGTATGCCAAATTTCATCAAGATATCTCAAGAATTGTAACCTGTAGCTTGAACACAAGTTTCCCTCTACCACAAGTGATGAAGGGTATAATTAGTTCAGTACTTCGGCGCCCAGTCCAGGTGATCGATAATAAACACGTAATCCTTATATATACAGATATATAAAAAAAATTATGCACTAATATTCGTAAACGGCTAATTAATATTGAATGGAATGATAAATTTTTTAAAAGTTTTAAGATTAAGCGAATCATTTGTCGTAAATAAGTTGAAAAAACGATGAAAATCAAAAAAAAAAAAAAAATCAGAATCACTTTTAATTTACATCTATAAATATCTTCATAGCAGTAATTAATGATTTTCAAAACTTTTACATTGAGAAAATATTTAAAAAAACTTTTAAATAATTTTCATAACAGTTTACCAAGTCATATACAGCCATGGTACAAACTTTGGTATAAAATTTGACTCAAAAATTTACTTAAGAATTTATGGAAAAATATGCAAAAAAAATTATCTTTCAAATAATTTCCCAAATTTTTACAGCAAAAATAAGCAAGACATTACAGTGGGCCGCGACCCACCATTAAATACCCTGCACCTCTACACTTAATACAATTACTTATATAACTTTTCTAAACTAAAGTGGGAAGGGGAAATGGTCGAAACAGTGATCGGATTCGTTCGTCCTCCAAATTTCATCCAAACACCTGAAAAATTGCGGCCGATAGATTGAATACAAAAAAGTGTGGATAGACATAAAACGGACTGTGTCTACCTTAAGTCCTTCTGGGTGATGCATATATCCACACAAGATAAATAAATCATTTTTATAACACTTATGCCTGTACTTTGTGGTATCTATATGCTCATGGCTGTATGTAAGCCAAAGCAAATAAGAAAATAAATGAAAATATTATAGTGAGACAAAGTGCTCTTTTAAACACCCTACAACACCTCAGCTAATTTCGCCGAAAAATACTAAAAATCGTAAATTTTTTCCAATTTTTTTTAATGGTAACTCTTAGCTCAAAAGGAATTCAAAATGTGAATTGAGAAGGTTCAATATAACAATATGGTTAAAAATCTTATTACACTTCAAGGTAACAAAAATTAAACTTTTTTGCCACATAAAGGCTTTCCTATACGTCATGGCGTCGAGAAGATAGGCCTACATGATCCACAACTGGTAAAATTACTAATTTGGACCAATTGTGACCATATAATATTAAGCATTAAAATTTTCTCTCAACATAAATTCCTGGTTTCCGTAGAAACAATTATATGGGAAAGGGCACAAACAATTAGATCATCCGACCTAAAATTTTCCCAAATCTATTTGGTTGTCAAAATACTGTTTCTAAGCGATTAGTGTCGAGAAGCTTTGAAAATTGAATTAATTTTCATATGACATTTTCAAAACAACGCCTTATATGGGAGATGGGCGCAAAAATTGTCTGATCCAATACATTTTCAATTGTGGGATTATCCCCGGATCAAAGCATAAAGGAGAACACAGACGTACAAACAAGCTTAAATCTGAATACATCCTGAAACGATCGGCGTCGGATCCATCCTAAGTTCTGCTGAATGTTATAGACTCGTACATCCTAGCAGCCTTAATATTACACCAAGCACACCAAGCGTGACGAATCTTAAGTACCTAACAACAATATCATAAGTTTCTTGTTTGTTGCGGGTTTATCATGCAGTTGTTTAAAACCAGTAAAAATTTTATACAAAATGATCAATGTCTGGTACGCCTCGTATATTTTTGTTAATAATATATCTTTCTGTTTTTTGTTAATAATATTTCCTAAACGCATTGGCCGACGGGACCTGTCCAATTCTCTAATAAACTTAAACTCTCTATCTCAACTGGTGCCGCCTTAAGTGCTGCAAGGATATCTAAAGTGATTACCCTTAACCTCATCCATCTTTTTCTCGGTGTAACAAACGCTGTGCTAAAATTATTATACTGCCATCGTTAGTTAATAGGCATAAAAATAATTATTTGTAAGGCATTTTTGTAAGAGTATATAAGTCTGTTTGAAATAAATTTGTAACAAATCTTCTCAAGGTTGTCTGAGTTTTCCATATTTAACAAATGTTAGCACAAACTCATAACAAGAAGTGAGAAATCATGTGTTCGTCATGTAACGAATCCTGGATACTTATCATTCCGAAAATATACATGTATATGCATCAGTCAACTAATTTGAACACTGAACATATCGCTATGATATCCACTAAAAGCATGTACTAACAACATCTGCTCGAAGCTGGAAATCTCCGCCCAATTTAGTATAAGATTTTATAAGATTTTCTTTCTTTGAATTATATGCCTATGTGTTTATATAAGTTGGTTGTACACGCTACGTCAGCTTCATTCGTTACTTTCAATTAAATAGTATTTTGCGTAGCTCTCTATGTAAAACCGAAGAAAGTATGAGTTTTGCTTTTGAAATTCTATATTTGCCCTTCGGTGATCATTGGTTGAAATCTTTCTAACCAACTTGAAATAATTAGAAATAAATAACGCTAAACTGTCTGCTTTCTACGACTTAAAAAAAAAAATTCACTATCTTCTCACATTGTCTGATATCACTTTATTGGTTATGCTTCGCAAACTTGTGAAGAAATTCGTAGTGTTTATGGAGGGAAATGCTTTGCATCAATAGCATAAAAATAGTTTGCTCTTTTCCGATCTGTAAATTTTGATGCTTAAGACGCGACGCGCTTTAGTAGAGCGGAGCTAGTAAATTGATGAAGTTCTTCAAACAATTGATGGACACTAACAGAGTTAAAAATTGATTTAGAAGAAGTTTAAAGAAGAAGGTTTTAAAGTAGACAAGAGTATCAGATGATTTAGTGGGTGAAATATATAAAGAAGAGAACTTCCATCTGCGAATCGCTGCCGAAGTGATAATAAAAAAATTGAGCCAATTTTGCAGAAAGTAAGATTATTGGATTACATAGGACAGGTATGTGCAAGGAAGACTGCGATCCAAGATGAATGAAGGAACGCAAAAGGTAGCAAAATCGGAATAAGGCCAAGTCCTGTAGGATTGAAAAGACATCACGCGTTATGAGTTATTCCAAGCTGGTTCCTCGATAGAGTCAGCAACTAGTGCGGTTAAAAGACACGACTGAAATAAAACGCGCAGAGCTGATCAATAGGAAAACCATCGTTTTCCATCGTGCCAAACGCAAAAACATTGACTAATAAAAATGTGAAAAGAAGTTAGCAGGGGCATCCACAGTGTAGTCTGGACCTTGATATGTTCGATTAACATTTATTTCGCTCTCTGCAGAAATAGTTTAGAGACATAAAGTCAACTTTAAAATACACCAGTGAAAATCCGTTGATGGAAGGATGTTTGATCGAAGTGCTACATATTTGACTTAATAAAATTCACTTGAAATTTGGAAAAAATAAAATGAAATGTCCCTCGAAACACTACGATCCTTTATCCTTTATATTTATTATACACCACACCACTTCTGGTACAAGCGCATCTTGAGCTTTTGCGAATGGATACAATATCCAGAAATACCTGCAGTAGGTACACCTTTCATTATACCACACCTGTCTGTCTGCCTTGTATACTTGTGTTCAACCTACAGGTCGTAGTTTTTGAGAATTTTCGATGAAATATGGTACACCGACATGTTTTGACCTAACAACGAACGCTATTGAGAATGGTTCGGATCGGATGAATAACTATATTAAGCGAAGTGTTGTAGAGTATTTAATAATGGGCCGTAGCCTACTATATTGCTTTTCCTTGTTTTCTATAGGGCGTACCTATCAGCTGTCTAGAAAAATGTCATCTGACGTTTCATTGTCTCTTTCCTTACGGGAATATTTCAAATCTTTGGATATGAATTTCAGATTTATTCAAATCACTCTGATCAAGGTCAAAAATTGTACTCCCACGAAACGAAACGTTTGTTCCTATAATCGCCCTAATGTTACTCAATTCTTCAAAGACTATAATAAAATGAAACTGATTTCAAAAAATGTAGCAAATTAATTTTTCGAAATCATATTTTGAGAAATTATGACTAAAATTTTTGAATATTATTTTCACACATGCACACATACAGCGAAGGTGGGTGGAAAATTGATAAAAAAAATTTAATGAAATTTGACAAATTCGCAAATTCTTTCGGTCATCAGAATTCTTATTTTAGCCCAAATCTCGATTCGTTAAAGAGGAAGAAAAGTAAAGGGGCGGTATGTGCAAAATGTTGCAAATTATTTGCTGATTTGGTCGAAAAGAATGCAATGAAAAAATGTGTCATCGCTTTATTTGCTTACCATTTAAGTCTAAATAAGCCAATGATGCCGGCACACCGCTCCGCCAACGAGGTAGAGTAACGAATAGTCGTGTGCGATAGACTTCGATGCCAAACGGTATTACATTGCTTGGCTTGAATTCGAAATTTTCAATAGCCATCCAACGTTTCTCGGCACTTGCGTACTTAAAATCAATCGCTTTCCATTCATAAGCGACGCGCAAATTATCGTTCGCCTGGATTGGCACTGAGCTCAATAGCAGCAGCAGTAGTATCAACGGCGTTAACAAGCATAACATCATTGTAATGGCATAAGTGTTTAAACATAATTTCAACATGTTCTCTTTTTTTTTGTTTTGTTTTGTTTTGGTTTTTTACTGTTTTAAGCTGACGCTTTCAAGGCGACTTCAGTAGTTTGTACTCAATTATTTTTTAATTGTTGTTTACAAATTGATTGTGATTCTAAAGAAGGTGAAGATAAAAATCGTTAGATATTTTATAAATTAACAATAAATCAAAAATCAATTTCAAATGTAAAAAAGAGACACGCACACACTCTCACAATGACCATGAAATGTCTAAACAAGTTTTCATTCGAGTTCAAGAAAAATCTGTCAAAAATTTTTGCAAATAAATAAATTACCAACCAACACCAAACAATCTAAATCGAAGTAGTTTGCAAAGTGCTCTTTCAAAATTCATCGTACCCCCCCCCCCCTCCCTCCTCCCACCATCTGTTCACCAAAATATTGTACGTGCATTGATGACATTTTCAAGATCTCAAACAAGTTAGAAGCTTTGATAGCCGAAATTAAAAAAAAACAAGTTAAACAGTCGAAGTCGGACAAAGTCCACCATTAAATACCTTACACCAAATTGTGGCGGCTTTTTCAAAATACAAGAAGTATATGGCGCGAGGGCATAGAAATGGTCCGACATTGTATCGATCCCAATTTTTTAAAATTAGAGTCCATCCGTAGGTCCAAAGGTGCCAGTCAATTTCGAAGATTGCAAAAGTACTTGGACACATTGACACATTGGATAAGTAGGTAGACGGACTGAAATCCAGCTGATTCAAGTCATTCTGAATGTTGCTTACATATGTGTAGTGAGCAAAGCAAACGTGAACATTACGTTTGGTTAAGAACGAATCTTTTGTATACCCTTCACTAGCCATTATTTATTTACTGAAAATATCTGTTCCTGTGCACACTGCTGTAGGGTCTTTGAACAAGAGGTCCCACTTTAAATCCGGCAAGGAGCAGAGCTCTTGTTAAGTCAAACCACGTAGGCCTTACAGAACAAAGAAGGGAATATAAAAAAATGCTGCTTTCTCCGATAGAAACGGAATTTAACCAAAGGTATACACGACACCTTTATCAATATTTGTACGGGAAATTGTATTGAAATTGAAGATTGAAATTGAAAAATTTTAATTTTGTATTCGAATTTAAGAATCACTGGTTTGTTAAAATAACATAAATGTGAACCTTTTCATTATGATATGGGTTTAGTGAAAAAAAAAATTTATATTTTTTTTAGTATACAATAAAATATATCTTGAATGTTAATACATATCATATGATATCGTAACATCAATGGCATCAATAATATCATCTCGACGTATCAATATCATCCAAGCTAAAGGGACAGGCAAATATGATAGAAATAAAATAAAATTTGCATATTGGGTTGTACGAGATGACAAAATGCAGTTTGGCCGGCACGACTGCGAAATCGCTTCGAACATCATGAGCACAGACATTAATGTGGGATGAATGCCGCATTCTTTCGATACTATTAGAAAATTTCGCATCGCAACACGACAAAATCTGAACTGATCGGCCTGAACTGAACTGCCTCCTCGCCTATTGACGTTAATCCTTATGATAATCCAGCTGTTACTTTAGCGTTCCCGTGCATATGTAAATAACAGAAATGTGAAATTGAAACATTCCCCCAAAAAATGCGTTCGGCAAAATATGCAAAAACAATACAAAAATGTAGATCCAATTTTTAGTTAAGGTATTCGTTTTAAAAGGTGATAAAAGAATCGATGAACATGCTTTAGAAGAGCATACTAAAGCGATAAAAGTTTGATTTCGATTTTTGGTCAGGGAACGCAAATACGCATCAAGTGTACGAAAGCAAAATCAAATACATAAGCATGCGTTATAACTTTTTAAACAACCGAAGACAAATAAGTATCCACTTGTGTTTTTCCACAAGCCTATGCACGCTTACACATTCGACATATAATATTATATCTATGTATGTGAACACACCCAAGCTGAGCTAAGACAGAAGAAAACAAAAAGAGAAAAACAAGCCGGCTTTTAAAAGTGCGTCTAATATGACGTAAAAAATTCATGTATGTATACAAAAGTTGTTGAAATTTCATTGAAAAGTTGTTTTCTTGATAAAGATAGACATGTATGCCTATGTGTAATAATAAACTTTATATGAAATTGTGCCATGAACTAAATTTCGAATATATAAATAATATTATAAAAAAAAAAAAAAAAAAAAAAAAAAAAAAAAAAA